TGATGCATTGGAATTGGAAGTGTTGGTGTTCTGGGGGATAAGAATTTGCCACCCCAAAATGTATCTCTTTGGCTTGATTATTTTTAAGAACAAAAGACTCAGACAGAAACTTTGACCTACTCCCTAAATGCCTAAAAGAATTTAAGATTGAAGGCCTATTTCAGGAAAGAGCTAACACCATAGATAACGATAGTGTAATATAAACTAGGTGTAATAGACAGGGAGGAACCTGGCAAAGCCCATTTGATCAAAGTCCTCTCCGGGTCACATTGTCTTTGCAAGGCATGGCAAACATTTGTTTACCAAACACTTGCTTTTCCATCTCCACGTGAATTGCCTTCCTCCCGTTGAAGTCCCAAGCCACTGCTCTCAATATCCTCCTTTGTCTTTGGCTGAAGATGGTATTTAAGGCAGTGCTTCAGCCATTTTGGCAAGTTACTCAGTTTTCCTGGATACATGTTACGTTTTCTCCAATGTATACATGTTATTAAATTTGTGTGATTTTCTCCTGCTATTGTCTCATGTCAATTTAATTCTGAGACCAGCCAGAAGAACCTAGAAAGGTAAAGGAAAATTTCTTCCTCCTCTACAGTATCAACTCAAGGTTTTCAAGATATTTAGATAGATAGATAGAAAAATAGAATTTTTTACTATTATTAAAAATAAATACAACTAAATCTCCAGCACCTAGAACAGGCATTGCATTCCAAGTGTTCAATAAATATTTGTTGAATGAATTAACGAACTATATAAACAACTACAATAAACACATGCTTAGAAATAAAGACATCCAGATGTTAACAGTGGCTTTTTTGGAGGAATAGACTTAACCTAGGTCATCTGGATTGTTTTTTACTTTGTGCTTTTCTGTTTAATTTTTCTGCATCAAACATGTATTGTTAATTGTTCAATTGGTCAGGCTGCTAACTAGCTAAGAATAATATTTTAGAGTCACCACAAGTCTTGTCCTTGAGTTTGTGGGTTCCAACATCTGATGATATCAGTTACTTGGACCAGATCCTTGGAAACTGCTTCAGTTTACCCAAGCTCATAGAATACCAATTATTACTGGGATACAGAACTTCCTGGTGTCTAGAATATTCTTGCCCATTACCCTGGGGTCCCTCCTATCCAGAATTACTGTCCCCACTGTAGTAGAATCAGTCATCAGCAGTATAGTGAACATGTAATCATTCACAGGGGTTTGGAGAGTTTTGTGGGATATTTAATTCACGCTAGGAAAGGAACTGGAGAATTATTCTGGAGTCAGACTGCCAGTGACCAAGACATTCACATCCCTTGGATATCACTGAACAAACATGGACAAATTCTGATGAGAAGGATCTTTTTTCTGGCCTCTGGATGGACTGTTATCACACAATGGACATGTTAATTTGACTATGTTTCTCTTGTATTGATTATATTTTGGATCAGTGTCTTCAGGATGGGATTTGACAGGCATCCTGGTTCCTTTAGCAACATGTTTACAAGTTACCTCTTAAAATGGACAACTTCTGCAGTTGGTTGCTGTACATAATGCACTGATTCATTTTAATTAACATTTAAATTTTATTTTAATAGGTAATATATTCATATAGTCAAAATTGGAAAGGTACAATGAGGCACACAGTAAAAAGCTCCCTCCCTCCCATGCCCGTCTCTTAACCACCCAGGTCCCCTCCCTAGAGTTAAGGGATATTATCAGTTTCCTATGAATCATTCCAGGGAGATACACACACACATTTTTCACCCTATACAATACTTTACATACTATTCTTGACCTTGCTTTTTTCACCAAGAATCTATCTTGGAGGTAGTTTTATATCGCTATAAGAAGAGCCTCCTCATCCTTTTTCTTTTCAGTGCACAGTATTCCACTAAATGAATCTGCCATCATTTTTTGAAATTAGTCTCCTACTAATGGGCATTAAGATGGCTTCCAAACTTTCGCTATTATACAATGCTAAGTCACTTTGCACATAAGCAAATATATTTTTAGGATGAATTCCTAGTAATGTAATTGCTAGGTCAAAGGTATGTGCACATTTAATTTAGATAAATATTGATTTTTGTTGTTAGCGCCATTGAGTGGATTCTGACTCCTAGTGTCCCTGTGGACAGCAGAGCAGAACCCTGCCTAGTCTTTTTGTGCCATCCTCTCACCTCCCAGCGCTCTATCAGACAGCACTCTGCTGCTATTCACAGGGTTTTCATGGACAGTTTTTTTGGAATTGTATGGCCAGGTCCTTCTTCCCAGCCTGTCTTAGTCTGGAAGCTCCACTGAAACCTGTCCACCATGGGTGACCCTGCTGGTATTTGAAATACCGGTGGCATAGCTTTCAGCATCACAGCCACATGCAGACGCCACAGTATGACAAGCAACAGACCCACGGTGTGGTTCCCTGACGGGAAACAAACTCAAGCCATGGTGGGGTGAGACCACCGAATCTTCACCACTAGACCACCGAAATATTGATATTCTGCTAAAGTGTCTCCCTTGGAGAGCATATGAGAGCCTGAGCATTAACAAACCTCTGGATTTTGCCTATCTGGTCATGGAAAAGGATATGTCAGAGGAGTTTTAAATTACATTTCCCTTATATTGAGTGAGGTTGAGCATCCTTTCATGATTACTTCCTTTTCTGTATAGTTGGCATAGACACCGCTCATTTTTCTATTATTTGTAGGAATATTTTATGTATTAGGAAAATTAGCTCTTTTCAGTGAAATGAGTTGTAGATATTTTATACCAAATCGGAGTATGTCTTTTGACTTTCATTTTGACAGTTTTTGCCTTGAGAGCACAAACTCTGGAACCAGACTGCCTAACTCAGGCCACACACCAGCTGTGTGACCTTGAGCAAGTTCCTTAACCTCTCTGTGACTCGCTTTATCAGTGAAGTGGTGATATTAATAGCATCTACCTCACAGGGTTGTTCTAATTAGAAGAATGAATATATGGAAAGCGCTCAGAAAATATGTGGCACATGACAAGGACTATAAAAGTATTGTTTATTTTTTGAGTAGTCAACTTTAATGTCGATTCATTTTAGATGCCATTTCAAAGAAAAATTTTTATTTGCCTTGGCTTCCAATTCTGGGGATGAAATAGAAAAAAGGGATTAGTTTTACTTTGATGGTAACATGCACCATTTAGATACCAAGCCATCCTCATAAGAGGGTGCTTAAGCGCTGGGAGTGGAGACTAAGCTGTGAGGCGCTTTACAATCGGGACATTTACTCCTCACCACCTTATCATGGTCCTCATTTTACCTCTGAGGAAACTGAGGTTCCGAGATGCCACACGACTCGCCCAAGGCTAAGCTTCCTTTGTGCATTGACTTGCGAGTGTTCTTTAACCTTTTTCTCAGTGTGCCTATTGCAGGTCCCCAAGGCACATCGGGTGCCAACCCCACTGTTCCCTCACAGGAATTCAAAAGAGCTGGCTGGCTGGCTGGCTGCCGTTCTCTCACTCAGCAAGCCCCAAGCCAAGCCCGTCTGACTTCCTCCAGTGACCACCCCCATCTTCAGCTTACAATCCAGTTTGACTCCCCCCAAAGAGTTCAAGTAGCAGATTCTCCCTCTGAAATGCTCTCCCACCCACCCCTCCCTTCCATCCCAGCTGCTGACCCTCTGGTTCAGCTCTGCCTGCCTTTTACGGGACCGTTGCTGCAGTAAGCTCCTGACAAGCCTCCCAGCCGACTTCCACAATCTCTCCTCTCCAACCTCTCCTAGGGTGCTGCCCGGGTGATTTCCCCAAAGCGCAGCTCTAGTTCCCAACTCTCAAAGCCTGCTGGTTTCTTTGACATTTGACCCAACCTTGCTTGGTTTTGCTTTCAAGACTCCCCTCCCATCCAGCCAAAATGAATGCCTCACTATTCCTTGAGCACCCTCCAGTCAGGTTGATTGTTCTGCTTAGAATTTCTTTCTTTCTCCTCTCAAGCTTCTAGAAGCTGTTTTTCATTCTGACTATACTCACTTCCCCGGTTCCCTTCACCACCTTTCCGCACTCCACACCCTGCATTTGTTTGTAAATTCCTTGAGAACCGAAAATCCTACCTTCTTTGTTATTGACTGAAATGCTTTCACACATGGGTACAATTGATAAACTCCACACCCTATTTTCTAATGGGTCCAGCCACTCGCAGGGGCCTGGGTTAACCCAGCACACAGCGTACCAGGCCTTCTAGTGGCAAGAACCAAGCCTGGCCTAATCAACCCAGCTCTTCTCACAAAACTATCACTTCTGGCCAAGTGTCCATCACAACCTTCTGTTTTCCTTTTAGATCTGACGGCTGTCAGCTGCTAACTGGAAAAGGCACAGCACGCAGAGAACATTCTGGAAATATTGACTGTCTGAACAAACTTTACTCTGGAGACATGAGAATGTTAGATCAACTTGCTTGTTTTAACAGAAAAAAATCAAGGCGCAGCAAAGGAAGAGACTCGCCCTAGGTCACACAGCAAGTAGGAAACAGATCTAGACCTGGAACCCCGGCCTCCTGACTGCAGTTCAGGGCACGCCCCTCCGCACCTTGGAGCCACACAGACCTAGGGTCACCAGCCTCAGCCACCTGCGGTCACTGCCGAAGACGTCACCCTGTCCCTTTGGCTCTCCCTCATCTCAGAGCCTCCATCATCCTTCCCATAACACAACCCTTCCTCCTCCCCAAGTCTCAGTTTTGAAGATAATGGACCCGAGCAGCGAGAGGACTGCTCCAGGGTGGACCAATCGCCTGCGGGCAGGGAAGATTCTCGGCGCTGGGTGGGATACCCACCGCTGCGGCACCAGCCACCTCGGACCTCCTGAATTCCGCACGCAGCCTCCAGCCCCGCCCCAGGGCGCCCGGCCCCGCCCCCAGCGCGCCCGGCCCAGGCACGCCTTGTCGACACGCGGCCTCTTCGCCATGCCTGGGCGGAGCCGAACCCTCAGTCCCCGCCCTCTCCGTAGGATCCACCCTATTGATGTAGACAGACAGAAACTGCGTCCAATGAGAAGGAAGGGGCGGCCGCGATGGCCCTATCCGCTGCGGCAACACAAGAAACGGCGCAACTAACTGGCGGACGCTCTAGGTTGGTCTTTCCGGGTCCTTCCACGCTTCGCTGGTATTCCTGCTGAGCCCCAGCGTGAATCCGAGGGAGAGGCGGAAAGGACCCTCTAATCAAGTGAGTCTGTGCCCGTTTGGGTGACCGTTGGGGTTGGTCCGGGGGCTCCTGCTGCGTCCCCCTCAGAGCCCAGGGTGGGATAGGGGTGTGGGGGAAGGCCCGAGAAAGGGGCGGGGAGGAGCCGAGCACGTGGAACTCAGGCCTGACTGTGGCGTGGGCGGGGGCTGGGCCGGCGAGCTCCGGGCGGGTGGGCTTCGTGGGCGCTTGGAGCCGGTCTGTCCTGTCGAGTCGGATCTGCAGCGGTAAACACGGGGGAGGGAACCCCGAGTGTCGTGTCCGATCTGCAGCCGTCAACACGGGGGAGGGAACCCCGAGTGTCGTGTCCGATCTGCAGCCGTCAACACGGGGGAGGGAACCCCGAGTGTCGTGTCCGATCTGCAGCCGTCAACACGGGGGAGGGAACCCCGAGTGTCGTGTCCGATCTGCAGCCGTAAACACGGGGGAGGGGAGCGCCGAGTGTTGCAGCTCGGTGTCTGACCCGAAGGCGCATTTTTCTAAACCCTGATGCTGAAGGTGCCACCCAGCACCTGCTAGTGGCTGGACTGCGGGCCCTCGGCGGCGGTTTACCTGGAAGCTCAGGTTGTGGGTGACTTTTTCAGGCAGGTCTGCAGAACGGCTAAGGCGTGTCGGGCGCTTTCCGCGTGCCGGGCGCTTTCCGCGTGCCAGGCGCTGCGCGAACAGCTCTCCAAGCGTTAACTGACTTTTCTGCGCACCAGCCCCGTGAGGTAGGTAGTAGTGCCTTTGTCGGGCTCAGAAAGGGGCCTGATGAACTTATTACCTGCCCCAGGTAACTCACAGACTAGTGAGTAGTGGAGCCCCGGGTTGAACCCAAGCTTTCCGAGTTAACCTGCACACCTAGTCGTGTGTTAGTGACAAGGCCACCTTTTCTACCCTAGCACTTGCGGGGTTCTGGAAGCCTCGTCGTGCCCTTCGCTGACCTCAAAACCATGATACCCCCTTCCCTTTGGTGGGCATGGGGTGGTCCACAGACATTGTCTTGTCAATCAGACAAGAGGGAAAGGAAACTGATGCGACAACGTCCTGGAGGAACCAAACAAAATCCCACAGCCCCAAACTTTAGTTTTAAGTAACACTGACCCTGGTGCTTGAGGCGGTGTCCCGTGAGTAGCCAAGCCCAGGGCCCACACCAGCAGGGGTGGAGCCTTTTGTCCACCACCCATTGTCTTTCTGGGCACGATTGTTAGCCCGCTCAGGCTCAGTTTCCTCATTTGTAAAATAAAGTTAAAACGCGGGGTGGGCATGGCAGGCTTCTCCTAGAGACGGTTTTCTATTTGGCTTTAAAACCAATGGCCTTAGGCTTTCCACATCATGGTCCCGTCGTCTCTATCATCTGAATTCCCCTGTTGTTCGACATTAAGGATGTTTCTCCCTTTTAAATATTATAGTACTGCTGTAGTAAATCTTTTTTGTTTTTGAGGTATATATTTCACATACCATAAAATTTGCCGTTTTAAGGTATACACTTCGAGGGGGTTTTGTAGTATATTCGCGAGGTTGTGTGACCATCACTACGATCTTATTCCCGAACATTTTCATCAGCCCAAGAAGCCGCCCTGCGGCCGAGGCACCTTGGAGGCACTGGAGCTCCCTCTGGGAGGTGCGACCTGGGGCGAGGTCCAGCCGGCCATCTCCGGCCTGCACCGTAGGGATCCTGCGGCCGGGCCGGAATGGCGCCTTGGGGGAGGGGAGGGCCAGTTGTCCTGGCCCCTGCGGGACGCGCTAGCATTCCGGGGAGCTGGGTGCCGTCTTTGCTGCTCCTGTGCGGGAAACTGCCAGACCGAGCGGCGGAGCGGCCCCAGGTGAGCGAGCTGCACGAGCAGGCCTCTCCGGAGAGCCCGGCTGCGAAGCAGGGCCTGAAAGACAGCGCAGGAGTTTGCCAGACTTCGGGGTATCGACATGCCGAGGTTGAACGACTTGCAGCCAAAGGAGCAGAACCGTGGAAAGCTCCTGGAACCCTTGTCAAAACGAACTGGACGACGTCAGCAACATGAACGCAAGGAGTGGAGGAGCTGAGCAGTTCCCGAGATGGGAAAGGACAAGGCAGCAAGCCGTCGATGGACTTGTGTTTTACGGCAAAACCCACTTACAGAGAGCTGCCCAGACAGCTCCCACCTGGAGGAAACCACTGGCAGTTTGAAAAAGCAGCAAATAAAGGATATTAAGACTGTGTTTTCAGAGTTTATCACTGTTGAAATGCTCTTCACAGTAAAGCTTTAGACGTAAACACTGATACCTACCAAAATATGCAAAAGATTGATGAGGAGGATATTCGGAGGTTTTCAGAAGCTCTAGGTATCCGCCAGATTATCCATCTCATTTAGATACTGCAAGAGCAGATTCAGGGGTGCCTTTTCCGGGGTGCCTTAGCTAAGTGTGTGTCTGGAACAGGGCAAGTGTCCACCTATCAACTAAGAAAGGATCACCAAGCAGAGGCTGAAGAGTTAGATGTTACAGAAGAAGAAAATTAGTTCTCCTAAGTACACTTTTCGTTTCCATTTTTGTCTTAAAACGACTCAGAATCCGGGATTACTAAATTATAAAACTGTGTACAAGCTTACTGTGTTAAACTTCAAAATGAAATGCTAACTGAAAAGAGAAAAAATTAAACTTATGCTGACCCAAAATGAAAGTTTTAAAAAATATTATACACTGAGTCACGTCAACCTCCTACCTAGTGATCTGTGAATTTATTATAAGTCCCCCCTTCTTTTAGATTATGAATTTCAAAGTATTTCATATTAATGCACTGTAGCTGGCTGGGAGTCCTATAGTAAGTAGATAACAGAAACTAAAAGATCTGCCTCTTCCACTTAGCTTCCTTTAGGTTGACTCCAGAAAAGCATCCTGTCTAGTTGTTCCAATTAAATATGAATTCTATTCCATGAAGCTTTTTTTTTTTTTGAGGAAGATTATCCCTGGACTAACATCTGCCGACAATCCTCCTCTTTTTGCTGAGGAAGGCTGGCCCTGAGCTAACATCCTTGCCCGTCTTCCTCTATTTTATATGTGGGACGCCTGCCACAGCATGGCTTGCCAAGCGGTGCCGTGTCCGCACCTGGGATCTGAACCAGCGAACCCTGGGCTGCCAAGAAGGGGAAGGTGCGAGCTTAACCGCTGCACCACTGGGCCAGCCCCCCCCATGAAGCTTTAAGTAAAAGACAAGTTTTCTTTTTAAACTTATACCGAAACATCAAGTTTCATTATTCAGTGTGTAAATTTATCTTTCAAGTGTGTAATCAAAACAATAAAAGAAATAGGACACCAATATATCAGTTTTACAAATGCATAAAGCATAGGTTTTAATTTAAATGAAAGTCACAACCCGATTCTGGTTTTAAAACAAGTAAAGCTGCTGCATATATTAATATGCAGTACTACAGCTTTTGGAAAGCTAGTAATTTGGTGGAATGTTGCCTAAGAAAACATGAACAAGTACACATGGAACATCATAAATCATTTAAAATTCTGTAGAAATTTTACCAGCCTGCTACCTAGTTAATAAAAGTGTATAATAGTAACACTTTTTCCTGAAAATATGAAACAGTTAAATCAGAGCCCTTATCAACTCGTTTGGGATAACTAGAAAAAGCAGTTATTCATAACAGAAAAATAGCCTTTGTAGAAGCTTTAAAAAAAACAAGGACCCTTGTACCAATTGTCACTCTCCTTTCCCTGCCTCCTCCCCTCCCGCCCCCAACCCTTGGAAACATATCTCCCTATCGCTTGCTTTCTGTCTCTCTCAATTTGCCTCTTCCAGAGATTTGGAGGTTTCATATACATTGAATCATACACTGCCCTTGTGTGTCCAGCTTTTGACTTAGCAAAATGTTTTCAAGGCTCCTCCACATTGCCACATGCATCAGTACTTCATTCTTTTTCTTCTTTTCACTTCCTGTTGCATGGATGCGCCACATTTTGTTTACCCGTTCATCAGTTGATGGGAATTTGGGTTGTTTCCACTCTGGGGCAATTATGAATAATGCTGTCGTGAACATTACTGTCCAAATTTTTGTGTGGCCATATGTTTTCATTTCTACTGGGTTTTGCTGGGTCCTGTGGTAACTCTGTTGAACCTTTTGAGGAACTGCCAAACTGTTTTCCAAAGTGGCCACAGGATTTTGCGTTTCTACCAGCAGCGTATGGGGGTTCCAGTTCCTCCACATCCTCACCTCGCAGTACTTAATCTGTTTTTTATTATAGCCATCCTGGTGGGTATGAAGCAGTATCTTATTGTGGTCTTAATTTGTGTCTACTTGATCACTACTGATGTTGAGCATCTTTTGGCCATTTGTGTATCTTTGAAGAAACGTCTTCAAATTTTTTGCTTATTTTTTAATTGGGTTATTTTTCTTGTTGAGTTGTGTATATATTCTGGATACTAGATCCTTGTCAAATACATGATTTAAAAATATTTTCTCCCGTTCTATGGGTTGTCTTTTCACTTTCTTGATAGTGTCCTTTGATGCACAAAAGTTTTTAATTTTGGTCAAGTCCAATTTATCTTTTTTCTGGTGCTTCAAGTGTCTTATCTGAGAAACCATTGCTGATCCAAGATCATGATTATTTATACCTCTATTTCCTCAAAGAGGTTTATAGTTTTAGATCTTGGATACATTTGAGTTAATTTTGTATACGTTGTGAAGTAGAGATCCAAATATGTTGTTTGCAGGTGAATGTGTAGTTGTCACAGCAGTTGAAAAGATTATTCTTTCCCCCATTGAATGGTCTTGGACCTTTGACAGAAATCAGTTGGCTATAGATGTATGGGTTTATGTCTCCACTCTCAATTTTACTGCATTGATCTGTATTTTTATCCTTGTGCCAGTACCCATGACTTGATTACTGTGGCTTTGTAGTAAGTTTTGAAATTGGGAAGTAGAGTCTTCCAACTTTGCTCTTTTTCAAGATTGGTTTGATTAGTCTGGATGCCTTGCATTTCCATATGAATTTCAGGATCACCTTGTCCATTTCTGCAAAAAAAGGCAGTTAGAGTTTTGATAGGGATTGCACTAAATCTACAAATCCATTTGGAGGCCATCTTAAGTCTTCCAATCCATGACATAGATGTCTTTCCATTTATTTAGGTCCTCTTTAATTTCTTTCAACAGTGTTTACAACCGTTTTTAGTGTACAGGTTTTGTACTTGTTTTGTTAAATTTATTCCTATGTATTCTTTTTGATGCTCTTGTAAATGGAATTGTTTTCGTTAATTTCATTGTCAAATTGTTCATTGCTAGTGTGTAGAAATACAGTGATTTTATATATGTCTTGTGTCTTGCAACCTTGAGTAACTCATTTATTAGCTCTAATAGTTTTCTTGTGGATTCTTTAGGATTTTCTCTGTGTAAGATCAGGTCATCTGCAAATAGAAATAGTTTTACTTCCTTTCCTGTTTGGATATCTTTTCTTTCTTTTTCTTGCCTAACTGCCCCTGGCTAGAACTTCCAGTACAATGTTGAACAGAAGTTGTGAGAACAGACATCCTTGTCTTGTTCCTGATCTTAGGGGAGAAGCTTGTGGTCTTTCATCACTAAGTATGAGTTAGCTGTGGGGTTTTTGTAGATGCCCTTTAGCAAGTTGAGGAAGCTACCTTCTATTCCTAGTTTTTATCGTGAAAAGGATATTGAATTTCATCCGCTTCTCCATCTATCAAGATAATCGTGGAGGTTTTTTCCTCATTCTATTAATATGGTATATCATGTTG